AAGTTGAAGTTGTCCGTACTGCAAAAAACAAGTTGTATTGTTAAATCAATTTGTCAGCTAAAGTCTACATATTGCAAGACTCGAGAAAAGGTTGAGATGCTTTATGGATATTTACTCTCAACGGCTCTAATAATACATAAACTCTTGAAGACTCAATGGTTAAACATGTTAAACATTGGATCAAGATCTTCTGGTGTATCTATCTTCAATGGCTCTTGTACTATGGAGTAATATCAAAGACTCTTTATCAAGTTACCTCTTTAATGGTTAGTTTCCGAAAAGGCTATAAATATGGATGAAGGTTCAAGTTGAATCTTTAACAAGGATCATCCAAAAGAAGAAGTAACAGGAATAACAATTATCAATACATTGTATATGCATATTTTTCTGATGTAGGTTGTAATTGTAAAAGCCTTGAGATTTCTTACACATTGAATATCTTAGAAATCTTAAGTGCTTTAGGTCTTTGTTATGGTGATTTCCCGTACCTTTGATACTTGTATCATATACATCTTGCTATCTATTCTGCAGAGTTTGTTCAGTAGTTTAGATAAAAGTCTTGTGTCAGTAGAATACAAGCAAGGAAGTCTCGAGCCAAGATGCTTGAGCCACGTAATTCTTTTTCTATGTGCTTGAGCTGTGAAAGTCTTAATCAAGTGGATTGATTGAGCAGAAGTCTTGTATAATTGGGATACAAGCAAAAAGTCTCAAGCCAAGATGCTTGTGCCACATAAGTCACTTGTTATGTGCTTGAGTAATGACAGTCTTAATCAAGTAGATTGATTGAGAAAGGTTAGCTTGATGCATGAAATTTGGAGCAGTAAGTCTTGTATTCGAGAGATCAAGCAGGAAGGCTTGTTTCATGGCATCTGAAGCAGAAGTCTTGAGCTAGTGTGGCTTGAGAAGGAGAGCTCAGTACATGGAATTGGAGTAGTAAGTCTTGACCAGAGGGGTTCAAGCAGGAAGGCCCATTTTAATGGGACTTGGAGCTGAAGTCTTGGGCCGAGAGCTTGAGCAAGGAAGTCTCGAGTGAGGAGTTTGAGCAGAAGTCTTGGACCTTGGGTTTGAGAAATTGTAAAAAGTCTTATGCAAAATGCATAAGCGATTGTAATCATTATTTGATTATAGTGAAAATATCTTGTGAAGCAATGAGACTGAACTACTCTCAGTTTGGGAGGAACCATTATAAATATTTGTGTCTTCTGCTATTATTTATTTACTTTTATTAACATTCCGTTGCTAAGAATTAACTAGAATCTAAACACCAGTTTAGATTTTGAACTCTGATCAAATGCAAACTAAGAAAATGGAAAACACAATTCAACCTCCCTTTCTTGTGTATTTTCTCACCTTCACATCTATACCATATTATTTTATGTGTTTACTAAAATTGTAATTCCTTTCTTATCAATGATACAATTGTAAATTGATTTGCAATCGACCATCCAAAAATGTATTCTTACAGTCTTTCTCAAATTTTTACACCTAAAGATCACATTTAACTTCACCGGACCACAAGACTTGGCGATTCACCTAATAAATCCTTGTAGGTATATCCCTATATAATATATCAAGTCTCTGTGAGTTAGTCGATATCACATGAGCTTTCTTGATCGACTAAGATCCTACAGAAACCATAGTTCTTCGTTGTATCTCTAACCACAAAGAGAACATGAAAATTAGGAATTTCGTTAATCAAATTTTCATCAAAAAATTATTTAGGGGGGACTTTTTTTCTTAGGCCATCGGTGCCATCATCTCCCACAACTTCATATTTATTAAGTTTCAGGAGATTTTCTAAGAATTTAGGAAACCTTCTGATACTAACTCCACGGTTTTTGCTAAACCTCATATGGTTGCCCTTTGTAAGTTATTCCTGATCTATTCTAGCGGTGATATGGGAGATCATATTAAGATTTAAAGTGTCATATTCCATATTTATTATGATGTGAAGGATTTCCCATTTTGAGGATTTAGTTCAAGATATGGCATAATATACATATGATTCCTTCTTTTCCCCGCCTTAGGATTACTTTGCTTTCTTTGGGAGTCTCACACTTTCAAATATTTTCTTTGAGGGAACCATATGTTTTGTATTCTCTTTATATTGGGTGGAAAACCATGACAACTTTCCACACTTAATTAAATATTCATAACATCCTTTAGTTGGATGCACTCTTCTATATTATGTCAATTGTTCTTATGAAAACGAAAATACCTTGATTTATCTAGGCATGAGCATTTCCTGACCTTTTTATTTATTTATTTATTTTTAAATTCAACCTTTTTTTTACAAAGCTCTGCTTCAATACATTTGTGTTGGATACATTCCTTGAATGTATTTAGGGGTGTATAATCTGAATATTTGAATGAGCACTCTTACTTACTCGGGTGGGTAGCAAATTCCTTCCTATCTCAGTCGACCCTTTTATTTCAATAAATCATTTTGTCTTTGTCATGTTTTTTTACTTCCTTTGGATTTCTCAGGCCCACCTCTATTTATGGTCTTGCTTTCCCCAACCTTTCCTTGTATTTTATATATTTATTTGCTTTATCCAACATACTATTAAAGCTTCTTTAATTTTTCTATCTTCACACTTTCGGAGAACTTCAATCCCAGTTGAAGCCATAAGTTCAAAAAATATTTCTTTATCGTGTCATCAACGTCTTTTTATCATAACAATTTCACATTCGAACCTCTTTATATAGGATCTCAAAGGTTTGTCTTTCTCCTTTGTGATTGACCCTAAGCTTTCCATTGATTTTGCCTTATTTTTGCACAAAACGAAGTGGGTTGTAAAATAAATTACCTCTACTTTTAATGTGAGGCTGAACATTTTACACAATCCAATTCGCTTGCATAGTAGAAATAGAGACATTCTACAAGTTTGATATGGTTGTATGGGTCCGTATTTAAATAGTAAGTTCACATTCATAAGAGCTTTTAGAGTTCTCTTCAAACAAGATAGTCATTAATCCAATGTACTAAGAATAACCTCCATAGTATATCGTTGAAAACACTTTTACAAGGAACTACCAAGAAATGCACACTAAAATTCCTTTTATCCTATTCTTCACAGAGTGGAACTGTTAGATTTATGCATCACACACATGAGTGATGGAATTGTTGAATGCCAGGAGGTTTATATCTTCACATCCTGCCTACAGAAACCTAATTTCGTGAATATCTTAAGGTACATTAGGTTACATGCACTTTGCCATCAATAACTGGGCCTTATACAAAATGATTAATTATTGTGGCGGTTATGACTAGCAATAATGTTGTGTTAGGTACTCCGCCTACTTTCTTGTGATCCCAGAATCCTAATATCGATTTGTCGCTCTTTTGTTACTTGGCCTGCACTATTAATTAAAGGAAGTTTTGCAGTGAAAATTCATATGGACCTAGATAATATATTTCGATCTCCTTAACAACGAAAATCAGGAGTGGTGTTAGGCCACAAGATTTGAAGGAAATTTTCAATGCAAAATTATAGATTATTCTCCATCTTAATGCAATGTTACAATAATTTGGATTTTGGATCAAACAAGATATGATCGTGGAAATTCACATGAATAATAAGTTGATTCCCACATATGGCGTCACTATTATGTTCGTGAACAAGAAATATGCAAGAGTTATGATTGTGGACTCTCGATGCAGTGGTGAAAGTCTTCTATGTGGCAGTGCAGGGTGGACCTGCAAGGTTAGCACTCCAACACCCAAGTTAATGAAAGAGTCTATGAAAAAGGTGTTGAGTGAACAATGGAAAGAGTTGTGTTCCTTGCGCTTTATGCATGCGAGAATATATATATATATATATATATATATATATATATATATATATATATATATATATATATATATATATATATATATATATATATATATATATATATATATATATATATATATATATATATATATATATATATATATATATATATATATATATATTAAATGGACCTTTCCCGTTTGGGCTGAACACTCGTAACAGTAAACAAACCTTTTCTCTATTGGGCTTGCGGCTAACCCAAAATAATCAACTGTTATAGGCTGATCAAAATTGTCCCACATTGATTGAAAATTAAGTATAAAAATAGTCCTAGATTGATTGAAAATTAAGTATAAGGGTAGTTTATATACAACATTCGTACACCTCAATCCAATAAGGTGTATTTTCTAAAGGACAAAGTCGTGAGAGTTCTCATACCCAAAACAGACAATACATCGTAACCTGTAGTGATACTGACTTGAGGTTGACCGAAACAATGGCGCTAGAAGGAGGGATCGGCTCCATATGTTTGCATCCCGCCCCTTAATCTTTTGAAAGACAATTATTTCAGATTGGTCAAAATAATTTCACGTTGTTTGAAAATTGAGTTTAAATGTAGTTTATATACAACACTCATTCACCTCATCTTAACGAAATATATTTCCTAAAAAAATAAAAGTTTTAAAATTCTTAAACTCAAATAAAACATCTAACGAGACATATTTCTTAAAAGATAAAGCTATGAAATTCTCATACTAAAATAAGAGAATATCTCATAATAGAGATTTAAAGTTAACTAATTTTATTTACTTTATTAATTTTTTTAATTAAATTTGATGTAGATTTTTGTTTGGTTAGTATATCCTAGTATGGTTTTATGATATCTTAATATAGTCTAAGTTTATTGTTTTAATAATATTAAAAATAAAAGACACAAACCTAGTATCCCTCACAAATCACGATGCTGAGTTAATCTCATCTCTCACAATTCACTCAAACCCTCATATCTCTCTTACCGCCGCAAAACACTCACTCCTTGCTGCTTTTTTTCCTCCTCCACACACCATCTCCATTTTCGTTCTTTTTGAAAGCAAAGTAAGTTTTTCAATTTCTCTCTCTTATTCTTCATATATTGTCTTCCATAGTTATTATTTTGATTTCCCGTTTCATGTTTTCTGAGTTTTAAGATTTCAGTTTTTCTCATTGTCTGTTTCAGGCAAAATCATGTCTTCAGAGTCTCAAGAACCGCCGCTCTCATCAGAAGCGCAAAGCAAAAAGGCCGCCAAGAAGGAAGCCGCAAAGCAAGAGAAGCTCCGCCGCAAACAAGAACTTGCCGCCGCCACCGCCGCCGCATCGAGTCTCTCGGTTGAAGATGACCCCCTTGCCGTCAATTACGGTTTCGTCCCGCTCATTGAGATCCAGTCAAAGACCTCTGTTGATGTCAACGAGTGGACCCGAGTTGAGGCTCTTGATGATTCAGTAGCGAACAAACCGGTAAAAATCCGGGGGAGGGCACAAACTATTCGACCAGTGGGGAAGAAGATGGCGTTTTTGGTCATCAGAGAAAATGGTTTCACTGTACAGTGTTTGGTTCAGGCACAACCTGATGCAGTGAGTCCGCAGATGGTGAAATTTGCGGCTGCGCTCAGCCGTGAATCTATTGTCGATGTCGAAGGTGTGGTTTCTATTCCGGCAGCTCCTATTAAAGGTGCCACACAACAGGTTGGTTTTCTTCTCTTGCTGCTTAGGTTTTTTGACTTTGTGGTGTTTTGAATTTAGAGTATGTGAGTTTTGATTGTTTAGGTTTTTTATTATGATTATGATGGTTTTGTTCTCTATAGGTTGAAATTCAAGTGAGCAAACTGTACTGTGTGAGTAAGGCCATTCCTACTCTGCCGATTAATCTCGAGGATGCTGCCCGAAGTGAAGTTGAAATCGAGAAGGCCATTCAGGTAAATACATTCATTACTCACTAGCAATGTTGTAAATGAAGTTGCAGCAAAAACTTCAATCAGACGCGGTTGCTAGTCTCAGTTGCAATTACTTTATTGTGTATCACAATTTAAAATCGCACTGATTGATTAAATATGCATGTCTGTTGTTTGTTTAATATTGTGGAATTTGTCTTCTTTTATGTGTAGTTGTGTAAGAACCAAACTAACCAATGACCCGATGAACCCAAATATCCAAATCAATAAAATTGTTCGATTTTCTTTTAGGTTAGCATCCAAACCAGGCCTCTATTTTTTCCGTTATCAGTTTCATGTCATTCAAAACTATCCCCAAGACCCGAACCAAATAAGTTTCTTTAATACATGTTGTTATTTCTTTTATATCACTCCATATTATTAATGTTATGCTAAAAAATGTGTTGTGTGCATGTACTTCATATCATTAGATATTGTTTTTCTCATTGTAGCTTATGTACCGGTTTTAATAATATGGGAAATCTATAATGTTTGTGACATTTTTTTAAGTAGGTTTCTTAAATTTTTAAAATTAATCAATCCGATTGAACCAAATCAAACCAACCTTTTCTTTACCGATTCGGATGGTTCGGATTTTTTGAGAGAAGATTGCATAATCAGAAACAAACTGACCTCTTTTTGATTGGTTCAATTTTCATCCTCCTCAAATCAAATTACACAGACCTGTTACGCCTCTACTTATATGAATGTTGATGGGGATTTTTTAATTGGTGCAGGCTGGTGAGCAACTTGTTCGTGTGAATCAGGATACACGATTGAACTTTAGAGTACTTGACTTACGAACACCAGCTAATCAAGGAATTTTCCGCATTCAGTCTCAAGTTGGAAATGTAAAGCCTGTTATTTCTGATGTTATTCTGACAAGTTTTTTATCTTTTGTTTTTTTGAATCATAGTTGTTACTTTTAAGTTTGTTGGAATAAATGGTTACTGAGGAACTAACTTAAGAAATGCATTATCTGATTATCTGATGATTGCGGTGTTGGGCAGGCGTTCCGACAATTTTTATTAGCTGAAAGTTTTGTTGAAATCCACACTCCAAAGTTGATTGCTGGATCTAGTGAAGGTGGAGCTGCTGTCTTTAGACTGGACTACAAAGGGCAACCCGCATGCCTGGCTCAGTCACCTCAGCTTCACAAGCAAATGTCAATATGTGCTGACTTTGGCCGTGTTTTTGAGATTGGTCCTGTGTTTAGAGCAGAAGATTCCTTTACTCACAGACATCTGTGCGAGTTTACAGGGCTTGATGTTGAAATGGAGATTAAGAAGCATTATTTTGAGGTACATTTGACAGATTTGAAATTTTAGGTGTTTGCATTTGAAATTGTTAGAGGGACAAAACCTGGTTTACTGATGATTTGAGTTTTTTGGCAGGTTATGGATGTAGTTGACAGATTGTTTGTCACATTATTTGACAGTTTGAACACAAATTGTAAGAAGGATCTCGAAGCTGTTGCGAATCAGTATCCATTTGAACCTTTAAAGGTGTGTTTATTTTGTATCATCTTTGGTTGTCTTATGCATGGGATTTGTTATTTGTCACACTATCAGTTTCATTTTGTTCAAATGATTTGTTATGTAGTGAGTAGATGATGCTTTGTTGTGTAATCTATAAGTATTAGGTGCAGATGAATGCATTATTACATTTTATGATCTGACTATAGCCTTGTGAATGTGTAGTATTTGAGAAAAACTCTGCGGCTTACGTATGAAGAAGGTATTCAGATGCTCAAGGTAAGCTTAAATTTTTCTCAACTAATTAACTTGCATGCTGTAGATAAACAAACAAATGTGATAGGATGAGGTGGCGATGCTTGAACCTTTAAATATTTTATCCTTCGTAACATTGAGATAGAGAGGGGTGGAAGTTTATGCACCGATAGACAGTATCTTGTGCACATTTTAATCTTATAGATTATCATACCTAATATCAACTCAACAATATTATAAATGTCATTGTGAAACTATGTTATATATTGTTGCTGTGTTGTTCTGCAGCTAGTAATGATTTTGCTTTGCAGGAAGTTGGAGTCGAAATTGAGCCTTTTGGCGACTTAAATACTGAAGCAGAAAGGAAACTAGGCCAACTAGTTTTAGAAAAGTAATTCCCTATTCAAATCTTTTACATCTAAAGACTCTGTCTTTGTTTTCAAGGATATTGTTTAAAATTGTTTCTGGGCTGTAATTCTATATATAGGTATGGAACAGAGTTCTATATTCTTCACCGGTATCCTTTGGCTGTAAGGCCATTTTATACAATGCCTTGCTATGACAATTCAAATTACAGCAACTCGTTTGATGTCTTTATTCGTGGTAAGTAGACACTAAGTTATTATATCATGCAATGTTTTGGTATTACAATCTAGTGCACAATTCATCATGTGTGTAGTTCCATAGCCACATGAGCTTTGATAATTGTTTTTTGATTTGAACTTTTGTGTATTCCTTTCCATTCAGGCGAGGAGATAATTTCAGGAGCTCAGCGTGTTCACGTGCCAGAATTTTTAGAACAACGTGCCCAGGCTTGCGGTATTGAGGTCAAAACAATATCTGCTTATATTGATTCTTTCAGGTATTATTTTCTTACTTCTTCCTCTTGTTTTCAATGGCTCTCGATATCAATTTTTGGTGTAAGAAATTGTCTTTCGGAAAGCTAAATGATTCATCATTTCCAGATACGGTGCACCACCACATGGTGGCTTTGGAGTAGGATTGGAGCGTGTAGTAATGCTCTTCTGTGGCCTGAATAACATTCGTAAAACATCGCTTTATCCACGCGACCCGCTCAGGATTGCACCATGATGACATTATTAGTGTTTGTTTATGAGTTGATAATAATGTGACCTCGCGTATAACGGAAGCTTGAAGGCGTAGTTTCACGCCAATCATGAGGTGAAAATACTGTTTCAAATCATACTTTCAACAGTGGTGGTGCAACTGTTATTAAACATTTTGTACGAAATATTTCTGATGTTTGGCATGATGTTGTCGCCATTTCGAACCTACAATTCACTTTCAGAAGGTCCACTTTTTGTCAAATCAGATCAAGGTGATTCAGTGATAAATTTAATCCTTTTCCTAATGAAATTTCGTATGAATGATGGTTTGTTAATCCTCAATCTCTATGTTACGACGAGTGTTTGTTTGTCAGCTACATAAGGCGGTGTTATGATTTGAAGAACGAGATATAATACTTAAAATTGGATAAATTTTATTAAATTATTATTTATAAGTGGTTTAAAGATACAATTTAAAATATTTTTAAATTATATGAATGTTTCTATATATTGTGTTTTTTTATCTAAAAAATAATAATAATTTAATCTATTAGATTTTATAAAAAATAATAATGTATATTTTTTACATGCAATAATTAAAAATTTGATAAAAAGTAACAATAAATATTTGTAAAATTTCAGTTATGCTTTTAAATATTTATATAGATTTTTTACGGTGTCAATTTATTTGAAAGGTTTAGTTTTTATTTTAATCACTTGAAAAAAATAATATTGAGGGAAATTTTTATAGTGTATAATAATTAATCTTATTTTTTAATGATAAAACAATTTTATATTATTATCTAATTGGAATAAATTATTTTGACACTTAAAATTATTATATTGTCATTTAATTGAAATGAATTATTTTGACATAGAGAAGAACACAAAAAAATTATTAAAATTGTTTAATTGTAATTTATTTTTAATTTGTAATTTTATAAATATCTGTCAAGATAATTAATTAGACGATATTGTATTCTAATTAATTTCTAAAAATAATAGACTTTTATTGTTATTTAACTTTATTATATTATAAAAGTAATAAGTGGCATTTTAACTTTGACTTTCTATTATCTTTTCATCTTCCACCTCATTCTCTTTCTCTTTTGGTAATTATATTTTTCCAAACACAACAGGCTTTACATATCTTCCACGATATATTCCTCAATTTCTTCGATCAATTTTTTTATAGTTAACAAATTAGTTATTGAATGGTTGGTTAGTTGTGTGTAAATGATTGATTAATAAAATTTAGAAATTGGTTAATGAAATTTTAAACATCAAAAATAAAATAAATTATAAATAATACAAAATTGATTAATTTGTAAAAAAATTGGCTAACACAGTTAAGTAGGAGATATCTTATAAGTAAAATAAAGTTTTATTTCTACGTCAGTAAAATAAAATTAGTTAATATTATTTAAAAGATGATTAATACAATTTAAAAGTTGATCAATCCCCTCACATATATAAAAATATGAAGTAAATTATAAATTAAATTGTAAAATAAATTGGTTAATTGCGTGTAAAAAGTTGGTCAATATATCTCATAAGTTGGTTAATAAGTTTAGAAATATAAAAATATAAATTATAAATAAAGTAAAGTTGGTTAATTTTGTATAAAAAGTTGAAGAGCTTTTAAGAGATTTCATCTTAATATCATAAATATGATTGAAATCAAAGGATATAGGTTGAAGATTGATTTTAGTGTATATGTGAATGATAGAGATTGAAATTGAGTCATAGAGGTTGATAGCTTTGTTTGATGAGTAGAAATAGGATTCTAGAAATATTTTGAAGATCATATTTGACAAATATAATACAAGATATTTTGAAGATTAACCTTTATATTTGTTTATTGTTATAGTAAAAGAAATAATAATTAGAAATGATATTTTTATTAGCTTGGATGATCATGGTAACTGTTGTTAAATGAGACTAAGTTAAACTAAAATTCATAACATATAGGATGCAATTTTCTTATCACTCTTTCATTCATATATTTTGATTTTCATAATGATAATACTACATGTACATAAGTCATGCCTTTTATAAACTTCCTATACTTAATATTTTAGTAAACTATTTTGGTCATTAAGAAAAGTTATAGGTGGTTCATGCATTTGGTCCATTATGATGCTTTTTTAATAATGAAGAATGAGAACATGTTACATACTATTACTTACTTTCATCTTTAATGAAAGTAAGTTAAATGGTAAACTAAGATATTTTTTGTAGGCCCAAAGTGTTTTGTAGGATTTAAAAAATTTATAATTGATTTGAGTAGTTTTTACTTTAATGGTAATTGTCTATAAGAAACCAAAACTTGACCCCACTATTTTCAAATATCATGCCATTACTTTAATGCTGTTGGAATATTTTATTAATTAAATAAATAATATTATAATATATTTCACATAGTTAACGTTAACTATATAGATAATAGGAACTAAATTTTAGTTCATTTAGATGTCATGTCATCTCTACTATAATGCAAATTCTTTATTACTAACGTAAGCTATAAAAATTTTGGTTTAACAACCCTGCACTAAAGTTACTCTTAGTGATTAAAAAAATATCTAAATATCTAAGGTATTCTAGTCACTCTTTTCAATCCTATCAAATTTAGAATACTTAACTCTTGTATTATTTTTTATTTGATTGAACTTTTACATTGCCTCCCTTTAAATCAAACTCGCATAATTTCAAATATTTTCTTTAACTTGTAAAATAACTTAATCTTAATGGTTATATATATATATATATATATATATATATATATATATATATATATATATATATATATATATATATATATATATATATATATATATATATATATATATATATATATATATATATATATATATATATATATATATATATATATATATATATATATATATATATATATATATATATATATATATATATATATATATATATAATTTATTCTTTAGTAAAATAATACTTGATCATCATTTCTTTCTCACCTATCAATTCTCTTATCTTATAAAATAGAATATCAATATGTTTGGATCGTCTTTAAAAAATTGGATTCTTACTTAATGCAATAACATTTTTGTTGTTAAAATATATCTTTGTAAGACTATTTTGTTTTTGATGTATTAATTCTAAGATTCTTCTCATTCATATTGTTTGAGCAGCACAATCGATTGCTATAATATATTCAGTTTTAGCGGTAGAAAGCACATCAACTGGTTATTTTTTCAAAGACCATGAAATTGCACCCATGCCCAAAAGAAATGCATACCTTGACATGTTTTTTTTTCTTATTTTTTTGTATCTTTTACCCAATCATTATTTGTGTATCTACAAACTCTACATCATTATTACTAGTATAAAAAATTTCCCCAGTCAGTGAACATTTGATATGACGAAAAATTCTCTTAACTCGACAAGTTAAACTAGAATCACCATAATGAACACAGTTTCAGTTGTACAAGATGATGGATCAGAAAAACAATAAAGAACACAATAATTAGTAACCTAGCTCGATACAATAACACCTACGTCTGAAGGGTTGACTTCCAACCCAAGAAAGCAATTCACTATTAGTAGTTTAGTACATTTAGTCTTATAAGCAACAACAAACTCTATGTTGTTCAATGCCTCATTCTAACACTACCTAATGAATTTCTATTTAGGTCTTTCCCTAAATATGAGAACCCCTATCACTTTCTCTCAATCACTAAACCCTAGTGATTGGTGTTTAACCCAATTATCAATGTTGAATATTATAATTCAAATAGACAAACCTTCTATGTCAAGTTACTGAAATATAGAGGTGAACATAAAGCAATAACAAGGACTCTAAACTCCATCACTCTAAACCTTCAAAGAATATTGTTTGCTTTCCAATGTAGGTATTGAGCTCCTTATATAGCAAAAGTATTATATGATTTTCTCTTTGGATCTTAGCTTTAATTTCAACCAAAATCTTTGCACAATTAGTTGGATATTATTTGTTCAATAAATACTTCCAACAAAAAGATATGATTTGGTTTAATTCAAATTCAAATTCAAATTTCATTTGAACTTGATTTAATGTTCACAGTTGTCCCACAAATCATATAATCATATTGCTAAGTAAAAGCAATAAAATCTAAGTGAATCTTCAACAGAAAATTCGTTCCATAACATAGCAATCTGGTATGTTGAGCAAAGCCTAAATATCGTACCCACATGGTGTGACATCGCGTCCAACATGTGTGCTTTCTACACCAGAAAATCATCTTGAAGTAGCTTGGCAAACTTGAACACTTCTCCATGATGTTGTTTTGCAAAATGCAACCAATCCAAAAATAACAATAATTTTGAATACCATAATTCACCCCATATTGTGCTTGAAGTCATTTGTCCAACATGACTCACTTCTAAATGAGCTTTCTCTAGTTTCTTGGCACTATCGAAGAAAGGAATCATTCCCACTAATTCAGGATCCACCTAGTGGTACATCCAGAAATCTATTGACTACACTAAGTTTACACGTCCCTATTTTACCCAATTTTCTAGGCGTTAAGAAAAATGTAATGTCGGTCAAAAACTACACTGCTACTCCTAAAAACAAGATAATATTTAAGTTCTATATAACTAGGGTCCCGAACATGTGTCATCGCAAAAGTATAAAAAAATAAATCTCGCTGTTATAACTACATCTAGATCCGTATAAGACCTGATGAGGTAGGCAAGATGATGATTCACCTCCCTAAAATCAAGATTATTGGAGTTACCATCTCCATCTTTTTCAGAAGTAATGGGAGGACCATCATCACTCTCTACAAAACCCCTCTAGATCCATAACTATCACTAAACACAATAAAGTTAGAATTAGGGTCATTAACTTCTAAAAGTTCAACATTTAGGACATTAGGGTTCTCATAAATTATCGATATCGGAGGATCTCCCACATCAACTCCATTTATGTTCTCAGGAACATTTTCTAAGTTGGCCATGGTGAATACTAGAAACATAAATAACAAATGTAAGGGAAAATGTTATAAATGGTACATGAGTAAGAAGTGAATAGAAGAAACTACTAAGGACAACAAAAACTTGATAACGGGGGTGAACCATAAATGGTGGATCCAAACATGAAGGAAAATGTAGAAAGATTAGAAATCACCAGAGCTTAAAACAAAAAGAAGAAAAAGAAAGGGCTCACAATGAATATAAAGTTCAATTATGAAAGGGAATGAAAATTATTTGAAAAGCTAAAGCAACCATTATATAATGAAACAGATGAAGCGAATCAACGCTTAAAAATGAAAGAAAATGGAAGAAGAAAAGTAAACGGTCCAGATGACACCTTGAAAATGTAACGACACTTAAGTGCACTCAAGCATTCCATGGGAAATCATCATGCCCTAACTTATGAACCTAAAGCCACGTGTGAGGAAAACATGCGAAACACCTCAATAATGAGATTTGCATTAAATGGAGATATCTCGTAACCTTTTCTACTTATCAACATATAATTCCGATTATAGGTACCTGACCCAACTCCTTAAAAGGCTTTCCATACATCACACTATATTAAACCTTGAGGGTAACTATTTTAGGTCAACCACATGCCCAATATGGTATAGGCCAATTTTCACCCATTGCATAAATATCACCACATGAATAACAAAAAGGTACGGTTTAATCCATAATTCACTCTATCCTATTTATTTGTAAACTGACTTAGGCGCTGGAGTGCTAATCTTGCAGGTCCACCCCGTACAAGCGCGTCAGAGCATCTTGAACCACCGCATCAAGGATATGCACCAACAAATCTAGTTCCATAACTGAACAAAAACAATTGAAAGGATAAGGAAAAAATGTTACCTTGAGAAAGTTGTAGAGTTCGAGTTGAAGAAACAAGAACAAGATCACTAAAGATCCAAAAAGGTTGCACAAATGAAGATAAAAATTGAAAAAAAGAAAGAAAAGAGAAGATTGTTGGCAAAGTAGAAGCAACAAATAAGACTAGAGATATGAAACTTTAGCCAGAGAGGAGCAAAATGAGCAACTAATGTCATTTTACCCATTTTACAAACACCTAGTGAGCATAAATCTATGGCCATGAATTAACGTAACACTAGGAGACACGATCAACGACTCAAGATTAACCTTAATTTGATAACTCCACTTGAGTGCATTCGAGCGCTATTGCGGTGTCACCATTCTCTACCTTAGAAATCTAGGGCCACATGAAGAATTTACAGTACAAAATGTTCATGTTACAAGACAAATATTTCACGCGTGTGTTTTTGAGATCATCCACTCCTACTTAATACACCAGTCTCTTTTCTAATTCATATGGTCGGTCAAGGACCTCGAAATAATGAGGAAGAACATTCTAAAGGTCTGTCTCAACACTTTTATAACAATCATAACCCATTGCTAGGTAGCAAGGAATTGAGGGGAAACTTTTATGGGCTAGCAAAACTGTCCAATAAGACTGGTCCAATTCAAAGGTCTAATTTAGGGTTTCACCTGCCTAAAGATAACGAGCATATGCATCCTAACCAAGTGGCAGCGCATCAGAACCTGACGCTATTCTCATTGCAACCGTTAGAACAATCCAACGACTTCCCATATTTCACGCTGCGCTCATAGGGGACATATTTAACCGTCACTCATATATAAGTGTGATCACGCGTCAAACTAAAATACATTCTTTCATTCTTGCAAGTTACACCTTTTTGACTTAGACGGTAGAGTACTATATTACCACTTTTCAATCCACCGTACCAAAGAACTTCTACAACGACCGTCAACAATACTCCACCAAATAATATTTTTTAAATTTATCTTTTGCATGCTATTATTATTATTTTGTATATATATTTCATACAATAACATAATATCGAAGAGAAAGTAGTAAAATATGTTATAAAAAAAATAAAAAACAGTTTTACAAAATCCATTCAAAATAATTTTTCATCTTCTCTTTTTTCTTACTTCTTGTTAGTCTTTTGTTTAAAGAGAAAAAAACAGGAGAGGATCCAAATCCGAATTAAAATTCTCGCCATAAGTTGCAATAGAAAAAGAATGGTGAAACCAAATGAAGTAGAAGGAGTAACAGTACCTGAATCAACAATAGAACTACTCAACCGTACTTTATACGACATTGAGCAACTCGAACCCCAATTGCCCCAATTTCTTTCCCACTCAGACCCTGATTACCTCTCCCAACTCCCACTCCTTCGACGTGCACAGTCTCTCATCTCCCTCGCAAAACTCACTTCAACTCTATTCTCATGTTCGTAGTTGCAACTTTATTACCATTATCATCATCTATTTATTGTTCCTCCACTTCAATTTGATCTTGATTTTTCATTACAGTGAAGTTGAAGTGTAGAGGAATTAACCCAAATGACCACCCATTTAAATCCGAGCTTGTACGTATGTTGGTTCTTTTGGGCATGTTTTGATTTTGTGTTGTATGTGTTATTTATGGTTCAAAATTTGATCTTTGGTGATGCATTGCATGTTGCTGAAAATGATTGGTTTTATGTTTTACAGGATAGGGTTAGTGTGTGTCAAAATAGACTGGAACGCCTTCCGAATTTCAGTGAAGGTACTTACATGTGTTACTTGTTTCTTATTCTTTCTCAACCATGTGTTTTATCTATCATAACTTTCAGGACTATGTTGGAATTGACGGAATGAAATGAAATGAAATGGTATAAACTTATTTTCTATTTTTTGAATTAATTAAAAAATGATGGTTGTGTTAGACAATCAACAACTAACGTAAAACTTTGTCGAATCTCTATGATATGGATCTACTATAAAATAAGGTGAATGCTAGGTCGTGCCTGTAAAAAATGCACTATATGACTCAAATACAATGTCAAAGATAGAACATTATGGCGGAAGTGGATCCATGTAGCCGACCCCACTTATTGAGATAAGGTTTGATTGTTGTAGATGTTGTTGTTGTTGTTGTTGTGGTTTGAAGCGGAACTTGATGAAATGCATTCCATCCCATTCCATCACTTTTCATCATTTTTTGTACCCTCCGATTTAGACAAAATGATAAAACTGCTCTATTCCGTTATGAAATATCTAAATAATAGAATGAGATCTTTGTTGTGAGAATCATGGGATTGGGCTACCTCCCAAATGAACGACTCTAGGAATTGAACCCAGGCCCTTTTCATGGGTAGAATCATGTTAAGAGCTCTCCCAACACTACGTTGGCTGTCTCATTCTAACTTTGTTGTGAGTTTAATGTTGGATAGAGATATGGCCTAAATTATGGATATGAGTGGTAAACATTTCAAATTTATGAGTTGGTTTTTAGGAAGCGTGGAGTCCGACACAGACACTCCGACACAGATAATGTTAAAAAGATAGGATATAGACACCCCTACATATACGATAGTATTTGAACTTTATTTTATTCATCTATTATTAAAAGAGTAAAACATATTCTAATCAAAATTATTGTCTTTAATTTTTTATTTATAACATTCCTTCAATGCATGTTTAACCCTTTTAGATGTGTGTGAGATTTGTCTTAAAAAATGTATAAGGTGTGTTGAAGCAAAAGAAAAAAATAATTTTTTTTAAACACTTGTCTAAATTATCCGACACGTGTTGTATGAGTGTTACATGGGTGTCGACACTGATTTAAAGAATCTCGAAGCAAAGGAAATAAATCATTTGTTTGGGGACACTTGTTTGACTTTTTCAACACATGTCGTACGGGTGTCGGACACTGACGTTTGCTGGACACCGCGACATGCTTACTCCTAGAGGTGTCCGTGCTTTCCAAGTTAGTTTTATGAGGTTGAGTTAACCTTGAAATCTAAGATGGTATCTAGTCGTATCCTAGATCAGTTGGAGTCTTAAAACTAAGTTTTTTCTTTTTAGCATGTGTGTTTAAAGAGTTTCCGTTAAACCGGCAAGGTTATTTTCTTTGTTTTGATTATCTAATGCTAAGAATTTGATAAGATGATTCAGATTTTGATACTCTTTTTGTTGAACACCCGGTTAGCTTGCCCTATTTTGTATCTTTCGTTTTGAATTTCATGTGTCTGAAAAAGAACTGGTTATCTCAAGCAGCAGAGTGGCAAGATATGGTGGAGGAAAATCTGAACTATCATGAGCAGACTGGTCAAAAGAGGAAGTATCCATCATCTGAAGAACAACCTGATCAATATGATTCCAAGGAGTTTTTGGAGAAATCAACAGGGGAGCTTCTTGATGGTGGTAATAGTGGAAGTAGTATTAAGGAAGCAATAACGGTTGACCTATCCGACGACGACGACGACGATGATGAGGTGATTGCACCCTAATTTACCCAAATTCTGTTAGTGGTTTCAAATTTATATGACATTCTCATTTATTTTATGAACTTGATATCCCCTAAATTTTATGTATTTCTATAGTAGCTGTATAATGGTCTAAGCTTTAGGGTGGTAAGAATCTACTGTAAGTAGAATAATGACCTCTCATATGTGAGTCTGAGGGAAATGTGAGGATAAAATCTGTATAGGCATTTACTTTTAGTTAGCAATGTAGTCAAAGTCATAGGTTAATTTGTACTTAGTTCTTTAGTCTTGGAATTGACTAATCATGTTGTGATCATGGAATTTTCAGAATAACAGAGATAATTTGCACTAAGCTCTTTAGTCATGTAATTGACTAGCCATGTCATAGTCATGGAATTTTCAGCTTCCTATGTATCACTCTCCTTGTCTGATTGTTTCCGGTCTCCAGTTTTTCCTCTCTCATTGAGATACATACGAACAAACTGCAACAACAACAACAAAGCCTTATCCCACTAAGTGGGGTGTGTTACATGGATCAACTTTGTCATAATGTTCTATCCATGACTATGTTTTCATCTAAATCGTTAATCTCAAGATCTTTCTTAATAACTTCTTTTATAATTTTTCTAGGTCTTCTTCTACCTCTAGTTGTTTGACTTCTTTCCATTTGATCTACTCTCTTTACCATTGAATCTATTTTTATGGTATGTTTGGAGTGGGTGAGATAATAATTTCAGTTTTTGTTGAAAAATATTTTGGTGACTGTTGGGACTGTATCAGACATGGAGTCAGACATTATGTGGAATGGAATAGAAACATCACAACGGAAGAAAAACCCTAGAGAATTCTTGTTGAGACTAATACCATATAAGAAATATATATTGTATTTTCATTTCTTTGTAAAACATTACATAAGGGGTATTTATAGGATACAAATGACAGTAAAATAGAGTACAATCGAAAATTTAACCCAACTCAGTTGATAGCTCTGCATAGAGGTTAAATTCCACTTATTCATTTGGACTGCAGAGATGCGGATTCGAGCCAATAACATCCCACTTATTCATTCCCCTTTAAGAGGTTATATTCCAGCTACTAGACAAAAAAAAATAGAGCATAACCAGTTGATAATCAAGAGTAATTACTCTATTAATGCTGATTCTAAATACAGTAAAGATAAATAATTACTATTTGCATTCAGTCTTAATGAGATGTACTCCTTCTGTCCTACAATGAGTGACATAGTTGACTATTTCATACAGATTAAGAAAAATGAATAAATGAAAGAGAGAATAATATTTTTACTAAAGGATCTCTTGTCAAGTATTGGGAATGATAAAAGTAATTTTAATTAGAGGGTAGAATTGAAAAAAATGCATTGGAAATTGAAATAGGTCATTCATTTTATGACACTTTTATTTCAAATGAATCACTCATTGTGGGACGGAGGGAGTAAAACATTATTAGTTGTATTATTCTGCAGCAGAATCTGATTTTGTGTTGATATTCAACATAACAACACGCCTGTCCTCCAAAAAAAACCTTGTTCTAAAGGTTGGAATCTACTAAATTCTTGTTGGGAGCTTGATGAGCGAATTATGTTTGAGTTAAATACAGATTTTGAAAACAATAAGCCTTTGCTTGCTAGTGTATCTTCAACTTTGATTACAACTTCAATCTCAATAACCGGTTCATCTCTAGCATCTGCACTGATTTTCGGTTATTCATTGTTTCTCTTGCCTTGTTTCCAGGGACCAGTCTGATTTTATCTTTTCTGACACCCAACTGATAGTCCCATCACCTAACTTTCTTGTCAAAGAACAAGATTCCATGTGGCGTCTCCTTCATAAATGTGTTTTTGTTGGTGTGTCAACTTTAGAGAAGATTGTGCCTCCAACATGTTCGACTCACCCATAACTTGTATTTTGGTCTCATCTCCTTCCATTGTCGATCTCTCTGAACTGCCCTCTCCAAATTTTTGTTCAAAGCTGTGGTTATTGATTCACAGTTTTGATGCCTAAAATGAAATCAACTCATTATCTCATCATCCAGCTCATGATTGCCCTTTCAACTTATGGAAAGAAGGGGCTTCTTGGACCTCAGAATTTTCCTGTCCTTCCAATCCACCCAACGGGTCTGCCACAGTAAACTCTAGAACCTTTAGTGTGGCATGCATGGGCAGCAACACCAAACGTGTTTCGTTCATAATAGACCCTTGATCCCCACCCTCCTTTACAACTGATTTCCTATTCACAGAGCTTTCTTAAGGTGTCCTTTTCTTCTTAAGATCCCAAAGCAATTCTTTTATTTTGCGTATATCAAGTAAACTCTTTGTTAGGCCTCTTTAGTTTTGAAATTGTTATTATATTATTAGGAGAGGTTAGTGGGAAATTATTAGGAGTATTAGTGAGAAATTATTCTATTAATAGGAGCAGTTACGTTTTACTAATTTTGTGTGTTTATGTTTAGAATAAACAGGGAAGATATGGGAGAATATACTATCTTGGAATTTGACTGAAAGGGGGCCGTTTAGGCATTAGGAAGTTCTGCTGTATTCAAAGGGATTTTCCCTATTTTCTTTTTATATATAAGTTGTTTTCTATCAACTGATATCAGAGATTCTGATGTGGGGCAAGAAATTCAAAGTAGGACATGCCGCAGTTTGACAACAACAGTGATGCCTATTGGTGGCTAATTTGTATTGAGAAGCATTTTGATGTTGTGGAAACACCGGAGAGTGAAAAGCTGCTGGAGGCGGTGAAAGCCTAGAGAAACTGTGCTCTCATATGGTGGCGGTTAGAGTCAACGCCATATACAAGCTAGTTAGCAAAAGTTTCATGTTGCACTACTTTGGCATTTTAAGCCAGACTAGAGAGACCTTCTACTTATATCTGATGAAGAAGAAAATTTTTAATTGGAAATGCCTCACACATTCAACCTTCAACAAGAAGAAACAAACCAAGAAAATTCTGCTCTCATTCAGATAATAGAAGAGAGAAATGAGGAAAAAGTAGAAATTACAAAAGTAGAAGATGCCGAAAATTCTTAGTGAATGTCATTGTGGAAAAGCAACGAGAGACAAGCAAATTTTTGAAAATTTCTTAGTGTCAGCAGACACTTTGACGGACATGGTGCGAGTATGGTGTTTGAGTCGAGGACCAGATTGTTTCCAAACATGTCCTTGATGAAGGGTGGATTATATTTTGGTTTGATCGAACCAGCTTTGTTAATACCTACTGCTGTCATGCTATGTTTTAGGGTCAAACATACCACCCAAAACAGCGTGTATGATTAAGGCATTAGTTATTATGTTTCACGCCTTGGTCTGACTGTTACTCTACTTCAAGTTGTGGGACTCTGGTGGACACTTATTTTATCCTTCACCTTGAGGACAAAGTGAAACTTTAGAGGCAGAATATTGTTAGACCTCTTCAGTTTGAAGCTGTTATTATATTATTAGGAGGGGTTAGTGGAAAATTATCATATTAATAGTAGCTGTTACGTTTTACTAATTGTGTGTTTATGTTTATAATAAGTAGAGGAAGATAGGAGACTTTCCTATCTTGGAATTGGACTGAAAAAGGGCTATTTAGACATCAGAGAGGTGCAGGCAGACTGTCGAAATTCTGCGGTACTCAAAGGAACTTTTCCTATTTTCTTTTATATATCAGTTCATTTCTAAAACTCTCTAACGAGTTCCATGCCCCTCTTTGATCCTGTCAGTTTTTTTAATGTTTCCTGGCCAATATCTGCAATGCACCATTTCTGTTGTCCATTGTACTATCTGGATCTGGATGGTCGTAGCAATTGTTTGGTTTCTCGGTAAAACAGAACCAGCAAGCTAACCTAATGGAGAAGTAAAACAGAAAACACTAACTGCTAACAACAAACCAAATTACAACGTTAGTCCTTATTAGGATTTCTTCCCTTCTTTCCATAATAAACGTTTAGAATCTTCTCTGAAGGGAGAGGTTCCTCAACATTAGTCTTCGGCCTAACAGGACGGGTCCTAAACTTGAATAAGTGGTTGTGAAGGTAGAACAAAAGATGGACTGAACAAGGAAACAAGCTCATTGGTTCTAGTGTTTTTATGCATGTTTGTTTACAGAATCCTAGAATATTTAGGTTTATTATTCTGCCAGAGATTTTTACACTGTAACATTTTTGCAGTATATGTGAGTTAACAGCAAGGAGCCGTGTTCATGGGAGAGAATGATTTTGATGTGTTTCTGCGTCATAGTTGCTTTTCCATGCTTCTGAATGACTCATCAATTTTTGGCCATACAAATTGAGGGCACGCTAACATGTCTTTATGCAATGATATATCCAAGTTGTGATGCAAGTATAGATTCAATCTTCGATTTATCATCTTAGTTGATGTGCAACAGATATAAATTGTTGTTTGTAAGGGATGGGATGCTCATGTGTAACCAAGATTTTAAATTGCATTTTATGGTTTCAGTTGCACGCATTCAACTATGTACATGTTTGGATTTAATGTTAGATGATGATGTTATTGTTTGATTACAATTCTGACTTGATTGTTACAAGATCACGTGTAGTAGTTTTAGCTTTCACATATTTTTCTTATGTTATATATCTTGATATAAACATTATAAAATGAACACGAGTTGGTTATTTTGTTAAACACTAATTTTACTTTTGAGAATACTCTTTCCACCTTTAAGGATGCTTCTCACACTTATGAAAATTTAATTCAAAGATACATCTTTAGATGCATCTAAAATCAGATCAATAAATGCGTTGAGAGTGCGACACCTCAAAAATATGTCTATGTATCTCCAAAAAGTTGTAATTCCCATTATATTTTGGTTCACTTGATTTGATTGGTCCTTATAAGAGGATTATTTCAATTGAAAAATAAGTTGGTGAGGGAGGTGTGTGATTATATATTGGGTAACATTCTTTTTCAGAATCATGTGAACGACACTGTGTTGGAACGACAATAAGAGAAATGAGTTTTTTTTTACTTGGAAATAATTCAGCTTTTTAGTGAATGAGTTGGTTGCACATTAGAAAAACTTTTTGTGTAAATCTTTTTTAACATTCTATCCAATTTTCAATTTCTTTCAAAATGTTTCATTTTTTTGTAATATTACAAAATATTTTGTTTGTAATCCTTATCTTTTAGCAATCCTATCTTGTGCTTTTTTTTTCTTTTTCCATTTTTAGCCATCTCTTATGCCATTTTTCCTTTTTCCATTTTTAACCATCTCTTATGCCATTTTTCCTTTTTTTAAAATTAATTTTAGCATATATAGATTTTTCCATATCTTTCAAAAATGCTTCTTTTTTTGCAATATTTAAAAAATATTGTTTACAAGTTATATTTTAGCAATCCCATTTATGCCAATTTCCCCCTTTTTTTTGTAATTAATCTTTATCATATAGCAAATCTTATGCCATTTTCCATTTTTTGTAATTAATCTTTTTTGAGCGTCCTATCATTTATTCCATTTCTCTCTATGTTTCCTTCATTGTAATAGTTACAAAATATTTTTGTTTGTACTTATGTTTTGGCAATCCTTTCTTATGCTATCTTTTCCATTTCTTTAAACACTATTCAAAGCCAGTTATTCTTATGCAATTTTTCCATTTCTTCTAACACTACTCAAAACCAGCTAAACTTTACTTTAAAAGTTTTAAAACTAAATAAAACACAAATTTTCCATTTCTTCTAACACTACTCAAAACCAGCTAAACTTTTCTTTAAAAGTTTTAAAACTAAATAAAAAACAAATTTACAATTGTGACTTATATTTTTAAACCAAAAATAAAAATGTTGATCAAAACACGATTGGAATTGTGTTCGACAATCAGTTAAAAAATCAGATTTGTGTGTTCCAATAATACTCTTCTCATTCCCACCTCTGCTCAAACTTGTTATTCTGTCCTAAAATGCAACCTTTCATATCACACCAATGGATCAAATGGGTCATACAACTATGCATAAGTACATAAAAAATGAAAAATGCAGACCAAACCATATAATTTATAATTCATAATTTATATTAAAAATTGAATAATACCAAGACTATACTAGCAATCACCACACTGTGACTGTGTCTAAAACACTTTAAACCAATCCCAATATTAATATTTATAATAGTAATAGAAATATTCTAACTAAAAGATTTCAATTCAACTCAGAAAACCCACATAGCAGCCACCACTCCCATAGCCGTTATCAAACCACCACCTTGCAAAACATCTGCACCACTAGTTGGACTTGGAGCAACAGCCGGACCTTCAACACCACCGCCTGGTGAAGGCGCAGGTGAAACAGGAACAACACTTGGACTTCTTTGGCCTATAACCACCACAGCAACCTTCTCACCCTTTTCACAGTGACCCTTTTCTCCGCTGATGTAGTAATAGGGACCTGAACGATCAAATCTCACCTTTGTTTTTCCATCATTGTACTTCTTGATTGGCTTTGAGATGTTGCAGCTATCATAATCCTCTTTGCTCACTTGCAAAACAGAGTCCTTCCCAGCTTCATACGTAAAAACTGAAGAACAAAAAGGGAACAATTAGTCGAGATAATGAAAAAAATACATAAAGATTGAATTTTTATGAGAAAGTGATAGTTTTTTACTAAGATGATCTGCAATGTGGAAACGAACACTCTCAGCCCATTTGTTGAGAGAGTCGGATTCAGAAGAAGGAACCTTCCATGCATCAGGTTTGCCACCAATTAAGTAATCCTTAGGCGCTGCAGCAGCAAAAGCAAAGAGAAGAAAAAGGAGCAAAATAGAAGAAGATGAAACAGCCATTGTTTTTTTTTTTGCTCTGTTTTTTGTTTGTGACAGTAACAGATGAAGAAATGTTATGGTTTTGGAAGTTTAGGAATGTGAAAAGTGAGGGATTTGGAGTGTTGTATTTATGGTGGTATTGAGGAAGTAGCCGTTGGTATTATGCTTGGGAATAGTGAAAAGAAAGTTCTAGATTATCAATATGTGGGGTCCATTGGGTTTTGTTTTCTAGTTAGTTTTTTTGGGCATAGAGAGTAACGGTCAAAAACTGAGGTCATGGTCATGGTATTGGTCTTAGTTAAAAGAATTTGGAAGGGTAGAAGAGAGAATATTCATTAGGAGTTACATAGAATTATGCATTGTGTTTATGAATTAACTTGAATTCGATGGAATCCTATGTGTTTTTGTTGAATGCAATTTCCTTAATGACTAAGTAAAAATACAATTTTTCATATTCATTAAGATATGAAAAATATATAAATGTGATGGTTTTTATGAGGATGAATGAAACAAACTCTAGATAGGAAAAGAGATAGTCAATCATATTTAATATTATTCAACCTTAATAACATACTATTCAATTTTGTAAGTTACAATTTTCATAGACTAATAAATTTTATTATTGAGTGAGTAAAATAACGTGATAATTGAGTTATATGAGTGTGAATCGCATTAGGTAAAAACTCAATCACAAGATAATGATGAATAATGGAGAGATGAAGAATGAGAGAATTAGCGTGAAAATGTGGTGTTCTATCATTAATAATGTAGTTAACTAATTAATGAGAAAAATAAATTTTATAGAAATCGGTTTCACTAAATCTAAATTTAGAGGGATAATCTATTACACAAAAACTGTATCTAATTACACGATATTTTTGTTTAATACCGAACTCTGTTATAAAGATAGTAAATAATTACACTCTTGTTGTAACGGGTTACATCAACTTGAATTATTCTAAAAAAATATTAAAAAAAATGATTAAAAGATAGATATTTTAAAATATATTTTTTAGTACGAGTTTGAATTTTTTCTTACTAACTTTGTTTTTTGATCTGACCTGATCAGGAGGGGATCACGGACTGGCCACACTCCGCTGGCCGGTTATCTGTTCGCCGGGGTAAGAAAGAGGAGGGGGGTGTACCTGCAATGCACTCCGACGCCCAAGTAAGAAGTTGGACAGAGAGGAAGCAATAGTACAGAAAGAGGGGCAAGAAGAGTTACCTGACCCTCTTGAAGAAGAGGGTATTTATAGAGAGACCCCAGCGCTGGGCCAACGGTCATTCGAGGTGGGCCGGACGACCAGGCCCAACCCTAATGACTGCTAGGGCTTACGTGGCGTAGTGAAGACCAGGACGTGGTCTTCGCCCTAGTTCAACCGCTCCTAGGTCTCCGGAAAGTGGGTTTGACCTGCTCTGTCGGAGGTGGGCGGTTGGCCGATGACGTGTCCCCGCGGAGGGGAGCACGTGGAGAACGTGCGCCGAGCACGTTATTCTCCCGCGGAGGGAGCCCGGGTAGTCTTGCTCGTCCGGCGTGACGGACGACAAAAGGGGCGCGGAGCGGTAGCTTGTGCCCGGCGGCCAGTCCTGCTCGTTCGAAGGGGCGCGTGCCAGGCGCGCCCAGTTCGCTTGTTGGGCCGCATTTGGTAGTGGGCCTGCCGAGGTGAGGCCCATACCGGAACAGGAGCCCCCCAAGTCGAAGCTCTGGGGAAGAGCGAGGACTTAAGGTCGTCATGTCTGGAGCGGGGACTCGCATGAAGGGCTCCGGTCGTCGGTAGAACGGGGAGGAGGCAGATGAAGAGACGCGACTGTCAGGTTGCCTCCACGTGTCTCGTGTTAAGCGGTCGTAGGGGCGGCTAACCTATGTCATTAATGAGCCTAGAGTCGCTTCGAGTCCCGCGCCGGGTTATAAATATGGCGGTCCCCGCTCATTCTGTTACTTTTCTCTCTGCTAATCTTTTGTCGTCTCTGCTCGTCCGCCGCTTGCCGTCGATCGCCGCCGTGCCGTTCGCTCTTTTCTTCCGTCCGCCGCCGTTACAAGTGAGTTCCTCTTTTCCCTCTCTTTTTATTTCCGTCGTCTAACTGGAACGTGTGGTCGGGGCGGGATGAACGCCCCGAGGAGGGATGCGAATTCCGCCGCGTCTGGCGAGTTTTCCGATGAACGTCCCGGGGACGGTAGGCTAGTTCCGATGAATGCCCCGAGGACAGGAGCTTTTTCTGATGAGTGCCCCGAGGACGGGGGCTTTTCTCCGATGAATGCCCCGAGGACGGGGGCTTTTTCTGATGAATGCTCCAGGGAGAAGTTCCTTCTCCGACGGCCGTCCCAAAGGGGGTGAGGGGTCGTTCTTCGATCCCCGAGGAGGGTAGACGGGGAGCGAATGTCTGCTCGTCGATCCTCGGCCTTTGTCGCCCTTTCACTTGACTTGCGGTGGAAGGGTGGATTTGATCCTGGCTATCGAATTCACCGATGTCCTCTGCTTTCAGGTGTAGATGTCGGCTCTGGTGCCGGGGATAATGGTTGAAGATACTGAACCCGAGGTCCCGGAGTATGACGACGAGCGTATCGCCCCGTCCGAGGAGTGGGCGGCCGAGGAGCCACTTTCCATCCCCTCTTGTTTTGTGGTCGACTCGTCCGACGTGTATGCCACGGTCGAGGACACGCCGATAGGAGAAACGCAACACTGGCAGGTGTACCGTCCGAAAGAGCACCACCGGATCTGTTCGCGATATGGGCGGAAGATGTTCCCGATGTATGAATTTTATTTTAAAGAAGCTCGGCTCCGGTTACCGTTTTCCGCCTTCCATCTGGGGCTTTTTGACTGGCTGCGTCTTGCCCCGTCTCAGCTGCACCCAAACGCTTTGGCCTTCATCCGGGCTTTCGAGGTGGTGTGTTTCTACCTCTCGGTGGAGCCGACGGTGCCGTTATTTTTCCGCATCTTTCATTTGCAGCGGCAGACGGTGCGAGGTCGTCACGGATGGGTCTCTTTCAAACAATCGACCAAAATTTTCAAAGCGTATAGCGATTCTGTCAAAGACTTCAAAGGTCGGTTCTACCTCGTCAAACCGATCACGCAGCATGGCTCGGACACTCTCTTTGACGAGGGCGAGCGCACGGTAGATGGCCGGCGGTTCCGCGCGTGGCTTCCTAAGATACATCTACTGTGGACCTCGGAGCATTTCAGTCGAGGGACGGATAGGTATATCGTCCGGGCGGGAACCCTCGAGGAGAAGGACATGGCCGCTTATTTGAAAATAATTGCCTTTGTGCGGTCGCTTCCCCCGTCGAAGCTGGTGACGCCCGACGGTCGGTACATCCTCGATGCCCAGGGGAACATACGCACCAAGAAGCGTTTGATAAATACTAAGACTTTGCTCGGCTGTGCGACCGGGGAGGCCGCTCTGGATTATCTAGGTAGGGATGTTCGTTTTCCCTTGTGGTCGGGGTTTTTGATCGTCACTAACCTATTTCTTTGTTTTTGCAGCGAACATGTCTACTGTCGACGAGCGGGTGAAGCAGTTGCGCGCTGCCAGGAGTGCCGTGGCCCCGAGGACGAGGGTGAGTCAGCTGGTCGGTCAGGAGGTCGCGACGCACGGAGGCCAAACTTCGTCCTCGTCGCCTCAAGAGAGCCAATCCCCTGTGTCTCAAGGAGTGTCGAAGAGGCAAAGGTCCGAGGAGCCTCGGGTGGTGGATCTGACGGTCGGCGCCGTCGAGGAAGGTTATGTCGTCCCTCCCTGCCACCAGCACCCGGGATATTTTCATGGTGCCCGTTCCCCCACTGTTTCCGCCGGGGAGGTGAAGGCGGTTCGCCAGGCTGATCGGGAGACCCGTCGACGTGTCCTGGCTGAGGACTTGGCCGCGATGATGCGGACGTTTACGACGGCTCTCGTGCTGAACGAGGAGGGCTGCTCCGCTGCTGAGCTGTCCAAACTGCAAGGGGATCTCACTTTCACGCAGTCGCGGTTGACCAAGCTCACTGAGGAGTTGGAGAAGAGCCAGAAGGATGCTGCCGAGCAGCGGAAACGGGCAGAGGGTGCTGAGGGGAAGGTGACTTCGCTGGAGGAGAAGCTGGGGACAGCGACGGCCGAGGTGCAGGCGCTGAAGGTTCGTACGGAGGTTTTGGACAGCGTTGTTCGTCCGGCCGAGGACGAGACTGATGGGGATCGGCGGCTAATCACCCGTGCTGACTTGATCGCCCGTATCCGGGTGTTGGAGAGCGATTGTCTGGAGGCCGTTGAGGTCGGGTTCAAGAATGCGGTCGAGCAGATTCAAGTCGCCAACCCTGGTGTCGAGCTGGCCGTGGACGGGATAGGGCCGTACCACGAGATTGTTGATGGGAGGGTGATCGACCCTTATCTTGTTATCCCCGAGGAGGAAACCGTGGCTGCTGACCGAGCGGATGAGGAAGCATAGGTAGCCGGGCCTGCGTGCTCGTTGTTTTTGTGGCCTGCGTGCCGGTGTTTTACCTTTTGCTTTGGGCCTGCGTGCTCGTTTTTGTACTATTGACTACTGGGCTGGTGCCCGCTTTTGTTAAATATATTTATCATGGATTTTCTAAGTGTGCGCTCGTTATTTGCATGTTGTTTTATGCTCGTTTTTCGTATTTGTTCGAATGCTTTTGATGTGTATGACATTTCTTGTAGATTTTCTAAGTTTGCGCTCGGTGTGTTTAGCTCGATAATTTGTTACCGGTAGTGTAGGGAACTGGCCGGTTTGGCCGGGGATGTAGCCGGGCCGTTTCGGGGGTAGTTTTCCCCGGGGCGTGGGCGGCCCATCGCGAGCTGGGTGTCCTGCCTGTTTTGGTACGGCGGCGAGGGGCCTCGGTCGAGGTATTCCCTGCCGAGCAAGGCCTTCTGCCCGCGCACACGAGAGGCAGGGCTTGCTTTTCTTTGGTCGCTGGTGGACGCGGGGGTGTGCGGTGGTACCATGTCGCCCCCCCCAGTGGTCGGGACGATGGGTCGTCGCGGGCAATGTGTTAACTGTAGTACCGCTTAAGCTTCGCGGCGTTCCATGGTCGAGCTAA